AACTGTTGTTATTGAGATGAAGGCTAATTAAATTAAATCACTTGTTTTTCAAATAAAGCGTGCATTATTGAGAGAACATCTGCTCCCTAAAACACTCTGCAGTTTATCTATATGAGGGTGCTGGAAGGGCTCTTTGAGAAGAATTCTTGAAAATTCTGTGTTACAGTGACACCTAGTGAACCTAAAAACAGTTCTCAAACATGAAAATAGAGAGCAAGACACCAAGGTTCAGATATTGAATATTGGCATTCCCCCAAATAGTCAATATTTGCTTTACAGCTGAAAAGGACTTCTGCACATATTAACTCACGAACTACAGAGGAACCCTAGATTTCATTTTTTTGGTCCACTACTGGTGACTATGTTTCTCAGACTCTTCCTCCTGATTCAGAAAGCATCACATTCCCTTGACAAAGCCCTAATATTACTTGAACCCAAGAGCCCTGTGATGACACTTTCTCACAGAACATAATTTAGAGCAGGAGTCAGCAAAGTATGGCCCACAGGCCAAATCCCACCTGCTGCCTGTTTCTGAAGACAGCACTCTATAGGCACACAGCCACAGCCACACGTTTATGTATGTCTGTGGCTGCTTTCGTGCTACGAGAGCACAGCAGAGTAGTTGCAACTGAGACTATATACAGCCCCCAAAGCCTAAAATATTTACTGCTGACCCAATTTAGATTAAGGCAGCTTGGGTCCCAACCTCTGCAGCTTACTAGCTGAAGTGCCCGAGGCTTCACACTCGAGGCAGTATGCCTGGCTGGATGCAAAGGATCTTGCTACCACTGGGTTTTTGTAAAGTTCCATTTCTCAGGGCACTTCTATCGATGCTTCTTCCCACCACTCTAAACACGCAGAAGCATCACTCCTCCCGCTTATATGTCACTGACTGGCCCAAGATTCTTAACATGTAATCCCAGATCATGCTGACATGGAAACCTTGTCATCTTCAGTAAGGTTCCAACAACCCCTGAAGGCCAACAAGAGCTTCAAAGAGACGAGATGACAGGTCCCAACACTGCCATGTTTCAAGGACCACTCCTCTCCTTCCTCACCAGAAGTCCAGGCCTTGACCCTGCTGAAGTCTTTGGGCCGCCTCCACTGTCAGAGCACTTGCCCCTCCACCACCGCCCCACGTACCTCCCCCCCTCCCAGGAGGAACAAGGCTGGATGTGCAGCTGAGTGAGCCTCAGGAGATGAACTGCAAGTACAGCACAGAAGATCAGAGGAGATGTTAGTATTACAAAACACAGTCAACAAAAATAAAAAGATAAAGGGCTAGCCAGTTAACTCAGTTGGTTAGAGCATGGTGTTATAACACCAAGGTCAAGGGTTCAGATCCCCCTACTGGGCAGCCGCCATAAATAAATTAATTAATTAATAAAAATAAAGAAATACAGGTCTCCTAGGCTCCTGAATAATAAGCAAAGCAGGACAGAAGAGATGCCTATCTCATTTCTGCTAAGTATGAGAAGGAAAGAAATCCCTGTACGAGCACCTTGCCAGAAGACAGTCCATGAGTGACCAAAACGCCAAGCTCATGTGCAAGATGCAGTGCCTGGAGCTTGGGTCTGGGGAGTATTACATCTAGTACTGTTGACTTAGCCTTATGAGGAGGCCAGAAAGGGGCTTGATGGACACAGCATGACAGCTACATCAGGTGTGGTCTATAGGAAAGCAGGAGTTCAGCGGACTCCCAGTCACCAGGTGCTACAGACATGACCTGCAAGCACTAATGCATACTGAAGGTCAAAAATCCCATCCTTTGACCTGCCCTGGCCTCATGGACTCTTCTCCCAGAAACTACCATAATCACCACGCCAACACCAATCAGATCTTATTCAGTATTATATCCGTTCAGTGGCTCTCAGTATGTTTCCTGATGAACTTCTGAAAGTTGGTTTCATTATTGCCAAAAAGTATTAAGGTACTTCAAAAGGTTCATGGAAAAATAGAATTAAAATATAATGCAAATCTTTCCAAGAACTTTTTTTTTTTTTCCTTTTTGTCTTTTTTCGTGTCCGGCAACGGATCGCAACCCTCAGTGTCACGCCCATACCGGACCAGGACGGGCAACGGGATCACAACCCTCGGTGTTGCTCCCACACCTCGTTCAGCCAGTGAGTGGGAACCGGTCTGTACGTGGGATCCGAACCCTCGGCGGGAATGCCACCGCACTTCCCAAGTGGCGCACTGTAGCAGTGCGCCACCGGGCCGGCCCTTTCCATGAACTTTTTAAGTACTCTTGTAATTTCTGCATATATATTTAAACATTCCTCTGGAGAGAAAACAACAGGGAAAAGTATCAAAAACACATAAATTTGCACTCTAACTTTCCTGTGAGCAAAGATGACTTTTAATAAAACTACAAGAGTCACTCACAGTGAAATACCAGCACATTAAGACATATCTAGGAAATTCTTACCATCAGCAGCTTTGATGAAGGTGAGCCATCTCACTTAAAAACTTAAAAAATAAATAATCAATCATTAAAAATAAGTACAGTCTGAGGGGCTAGCCTGTGGCTCACTTGGGAGAGTGTGGTGCCTATAACACCAAGGCCACAAGTTCAGATCCCTATATAGGGATGGCCGGTTAGCTCACTTGGGAGAGCGTGGTGCTGACAACACCAAGTCAAGGGTTAAGATCCCCTTACTGGTTATCTTTAAAAAAAAATAATAATAATAAGTACAATCTGGACCCTAATTGGTTAACTAATTATTCATTTATTTACAGACAGTGCTGAGTTAATTTGAAGATTTTAACAAAAATAATTGTTATGGTTCTCCAGCAAAGACTCCATATTAAATTAAGGGGTGGGGGCTGCTTCTTCTTTAAGATGCAATCATCTTAGAAAACTCTGGTCACAAAGATATTGTGGCACAGAATTTTAAACTTAGAACTTTTCATCCTTGAATGCTTGAGAGTTCAAATTTTGCTCTTATTTACAATGGACAAAAAGTGGTGAGTAGGTTAAAAATTACTTCCAACGTGTTTTTATTTAAACGTGTAGCCTGGCAATACAGGAACTGTAGGATTGTGTATGAAATCACACCTGAGTCCATCCTCAGCAATGCTTCGAGAATCCAAATAAAAAGTGCCATGGTCTCACTGTGCCACCAGATGTCCACTCATAGGTCACAATGCTCTTTAGGATCACTTTTGGGAAATGTGAAAGCCTTCAGTAAAGGACCTCAACATCTGCTGGAAATAATCAATATTCTGCAATTGCTTGGCAACAGCAGTAGCTGTCACATAATGACAATCTTGTGGCTAAAAAACAGTGGTATCTGCCCCTAAGTCAGAAGGTTTCAAGGGCACCATCCAAGACTAAATGGTAATGACAGGGTCGCCTGGCAAATATCCTGGGAGGAGAATGACTGTGTAAGGTTGCTCTATGGAGCCAAACATGACTTGGCCAGAGACTGGTGGACACAGCTCTTTGCAATATAAGAACTATCTGGCCAGGTTCTGAGGCACGCTGAAGAGGACATCTGGATTCTCTCTGCTGAGCTCTGGTGGACCCCAGTCCAAGATGTGATAGCCCATTCCCCCATTCTAGTCCTGCTTCTGTGGAGGAATAAATTGAACTACTGGGACCAGGATGCTTCATTATTTAAATACTGGAACTTAGGATCCCTGTTGGTTGAAATGAAGCCCCAGTTCTCACTGAACTATCCACCATAACAATGGAGTATTCACTAAGACTTGTGCTTAATACAACATATAAAATTCCAAAAGTAGCTTAATTTTCTCAAGTTGAGGATGTTATACAATGAAAATGCTAAATTATGACTTAATGAACTACTACTTTGAATTAGTTAAGCCTCTTGTTCAGAACATTCTTTCAGAATATGGACTATGATATAATAAGATCAGATAAATTAATGTACACCTATGCTCCCATGAATTCTCCTCCATAAAATCTATTAATACTAGCTTTTTACTCTCCAGTTTTATATTTTCAGGAGAAGCCAAAATTATTAATATTTATACTGGACATGTTCTCAAATCTTCTCCAGAGTGCCAAACGGGTGACTTAGCAACTAAGCAGTTAATCTGATTAATGGACAAACTGGGTAGAATAATTTGGACCACAAGGTAAATGACTTAGCCAGGTCATTCAGTTGAGATGTTTACTCACATAAATCTCGCCTTAATTTCCTTTCCATTTTGTGCATCATCTCAGGCTAGACAGGAAAGGAGTGGATAACCAATTCAGATGACAATTCTGGCTGAAAAATGTCATGTCCTTTGAGAAGTCAATAGAATCATATGACTAATATAATGTGTGATCTGGATTTTGGGGGTAAGGGCTATAAAGGATAATATTGAGAAAATTGGAAGAAGTATGATCTGTAGTTGAAATCATAGTATTATATTAATGTTAATGTCCTAATTTTGATAACTATACTGTAGTCATGTAAGAGAATGTCCTTGCTCTTAGGAAATACACAGTAAAGAATTTAGAAGTAAAGAAAAGAATTATCTTCCTGTCAAATCAGCAACTTACTCTCAAATAGTTCAGAAAAAAAATTATACATATATATATCATGAGAAAATGATAGGACAAGCATGGTAAAATAACTACAATTGGGGAATCTGAGTAACGGGTATGGGGGTTCTTCGTACTATTCTAACTTTTCTATAAGTACAAAATCATTTCAAAGTTAAAAATTCACAACAAAAAATTTTAAGCTGGCATAATAACTCATTCATAGTGATCCTGTGCTCTAAAACAAAGCCAAATTAACATATCATAAATTGTGTATCTCAATTAATTTTAATATTATATTAGTGGCATTACAAACCAGGAAAACATTATTTGAGTTTTATCTGGTTATAAAATCATTGGCTCTCAAAGTTAGAGGGGAACTAAGAGACCAAACAACTCAAATAAACATCCTTGTTTCCCAGTGCAACACTATGAGAAATTAAATAATACCAAAAGTAAGCAGGATGTGAATCATGAACCAAGCACAGAAAGGTTGTTATACCTTGAACTGCTGTTGATCTCCACCCAGCCCAGTTTCCATGACACATGAAGCAGAAGTCCACCAATGAATGTCTGCCACCTGAAAAAGACAAGTGCCAACATGAATTTAAGAGTGCCACGGTCTCAGACACCTTCAAGCCCCAGCAGACCTGCTGACTGACACAGACAGACACATTCAACCCCTCTTACAACTCTTCTCTCCCACTCTCTCCCAATTTTCATCCCATTTCTCAGATCTTTCCTTCTCAGTTTCTACTAGTCCTTTGAGTCCAGCTGTCCTGGCTATTCTTCTCTTCTTATTCTGGACTTTTCCTGAACAACTGCCTCCACAGCCACTGCTTCTCCCACTGCCTCTGCACTGATGATTCCCAATCCCCCTTCTCACCCGGATATTGCCACATTGATATCCCACACGCTCCCAATTAAAAAGCAGCTAAACCATCACCCTGTGCTTCCTCCTCCCCATCCTGATCATCCTCCCTAATCAGCCAAACAGATGTCAGTCCGGCCCTTGCTCCCCATCACATCCCTCATCTACTTGCAAAATCCTACTGATTTTATTTATCCCCATAACAGCAGTCAAATCCAAAGCCTTTGCCTCCATCTCTTCTGCCTCTGCCTCAATGATGGCTCTTATCATTTCACACCTGGCCCATTGCATCAATCCCTAACTGTTGCCCCTCTCTACAGGGCTGTCCCCCACCACCCATTCTCTACATTGTAGCCGAAGTGTTTGTTCTAAAATGCAAATTTAATTGTGCTGCTTGCTCGTTTTCAAAACAGATGATTCTTCCTGGTGCCACAGGCAGCAGCCTTCAGCCCTCTTCTGCTACGACACACTTGGGGTCACAAAAAACACTGCCCTTGGCATGCAGAGTTTAAGGGAGTGCACAGGTTATAAACACCTCTCCCTTTCCCACTGCAGAAAGCATATCAAAATGCCAAATGAGTGGAAGACATAACTATATATATATATTTTTTGGCACCTGGCCAGTACAGGGCCTTTTTTATTTTAGGTGAATCACTCATAAGTTTCAAAACCCTATTTTTAGTTATAAGTGACTTAAGACACCTCATCTCAGAAGTGACTACAACACACCCATGTGTTGTAACACTACAGCTGAGAACCCCTGGCCTACAGGACAAAGTCACTTGTGTGTGACACACAGCCCTCTGGGACTTGCGCCCACCCCTCTCCAGGATCAGCTTGTCTGTTGCCATAGGCAGACACATTCCAGCCTTACTGAACGGCCCATAGCCTTGGGAATGTGCCAGGCCACTTCACACACTAGGAGCTTGTGTGCACTGTCCTCTTCCCCATACTGTCTTTCCCATCTCCTCATATGGTGGTGACACCTGCTCAGCCTATAAGACCCAGCTTGCATGTCTCTTTTGTGATGCTCCATCGACCCATCCAAGCAGAACAGACCAATACAGATGGGCCCTCAAACAGCTTGGTCTAGAGCAGTGGTTCTCAATGAGGCAATTCTCCCGACATGGGACACTTGGCAGTGTCTTAAGAAATTTCTGGCTGTCCCAACTAAGAGTGGGAGGGGGAGTGGGTACCACTGGAATCTAGTGAGTGGAAGCAAGTGTTTAGATGCTGCTAAATATCCTCCAACGTGCAGGGCAGCTGCCACAGCAAAGAATTATCCAACTCAAAATGTCAATTCTGAAATGTCATTCCAAGGTTGAGAAACCCTTGTCTAGTGAGAAGTAAGATAATTAACCAATAACGGCAAGAAAGTGTGATGATGCCCTAACAGGAAGAATACCAGGTACCACGAACCACCCTAGCAAGGGCAACTAATCTAGTCCAGTGAGCTGAGTAAGACCTCCCAGAGGAAGTAAATCTGAGCAAAAACCTGAAGTGTGTTCAAAGCAGAAGACCCAGAAGGGGCAAAGGCCCAGAGGTGGGAGAGACAATGGTTCATTCAAAGCTTCTCAGAGAAGTTCAAGTGATGGACTTTAGTATTTGGGCATTCGAGGGAGGGTGGCAAGAGCTGGCACTGGAGGGAAGGGGCTGGTCCTGAAAGGCCACATCAATCATGTAAGGAGCTGGGATTTCAAACTGGGGACCCACTGAAGGGTGTCAAGCACGGGAGTGACACTGTCACATTTACATTTGGGACAGCTCCCTCTCTTTACAAGGAAGAGAATGTTTTTTGAGAGAAGCAAGACTAGGGTTAAGGAAGCAAGTTAAGAGTTGTTATAGTAACTTGAGGGATGGCAGTGGCCCAGGAAGCAGCAATCTAGATGAAGAAGGTGGACAGATTCTAAAGATGTTCAGGAGCTCTTGGTGGCCAATGGGATGTTGAAGATGAAGGAGACAAAAGAAATCAAGAATAACTTCCAGGTTTCTGAGTTGGGCAACCCAACAGAGGGCACCATGCAGTGCAGGTAAATTTCAGGGACAGAAAGAAGAAAAAGACAAGTTCCACAAGGGCAGAGGTCTTTGTTTCTTCACTGATATACCCCACGTGTCTAGAACAGTGCCTGGCACATAGCATGTACCAATACATATTTGTACAATAAGTTACTCTGCTGTCCTGTGCTCCTCCTATGCCCCAGGCATTGGTCTAGGCATTGGGGATACTCCAGAGACAAAACAGATAAAACAAAATTCCTGCCTTTGTAGATCTTACATTCTACCGAGGGATGTGCATTCAGCCTGACCCACCCACAAACAAGAAGGGAAAAGGCTACCCAGGTGTAAACAGCATCCTTTCCCACATATGCTCCCTAGGCCCCTCCACGACAGTCAGGACCAGAAAATGCTTCCTATTCACTAAGAGAGAAATTACCTCAGCTTTATTGACTAAAATTTACATAATCACAGACAATATTTTTAAACTTTTGCTATAAAGTATGAGGGAGGAACTTAATTCTAAAGTTTACCTGAAATAACATATTGGTGATAATATAAAGAACATTTTAAAAAAAGGAGATGAGGGATGACTTGATCTACTACATATTTATACAATATAATTAAAACAATTCAGCACTAGCCCTTTTCCATAAAAATTGACAAAACGTACCCAAAAAGAGAACCCACAAAAGTAACTTTATATGTGATATCAGAAACCCAAAGGCCAAGGAAGGATGATACAATAAATGGGGCTAGTATAAGTTAGTTAACTATTGGGGGAGGGACAATTTCATTACACCAAAATAAACTCACAATGATTAAAAATTGAATAAAGGGGGCAAAACAATTTCTTAATATTCAAGAAAAATACTAAAGAAGTTCATGTTCTTTAATCCATTTCTTATGTAGGAATCTATCTCGAAGAAATAGTCAGAAATTTGGTAGATTTGAATACAAAAATGTCTGTCTGATAACGTTGTTTTTATACACCCCAAATGGAACATAATTTAAATGCCCTTTAATGGAATGACTAAATAATTTACAGTATGTCTATTTGATGAAAAACCTACACAGTCATTAAAAATATTTCAAAGAATATTTAATGATGTTTGTGGGACATTTCCTAAAAATGTATATAAAGAGCATAAAAGATACTCACCCTTGGAATAATGTAGGGTAGGTAAATTTCAAGACAGATAGGACATACTGAAAAACAAAGACCAGATTAATGGACATTTCAAATGACAGAGAATTGATAGATCATATCATCAAAGAAATTCCTATTGAAGAAACACAAGTACATTACTTCAGTACATTCCAGTTTTTAAAAGGCCTTCAGGGGGCCGGCCTGTGGCTCACTTGGGAGAGTGCAGTGCTGATAACACCAAGGTCATGGGTTCGGATCCCTATATAGGGATGGCTGGTTCGCTCACTTAGGAGAGAGTGGTGCTGATAACACCAAGTCAAGGGTTAAGATCCCCTTACTGGTCATCTTTTTAAAAAAAATAAATAAATAAATAAAAGGCCTTCATTCCCCCCAAATCACACACTGGACAAACAAATGACCTTCCAAGTCATTCTAAAAAGAGTAGGCCTGCTTTTCCCCAGGGCTACCTTAGTTGAGGGATGGAGCTGGTGGCATTGTGAGCAAAAAAGTCAGTAGCTGGGTCTGATGCTGTAGATGCCCGAACACTCAGTGTGATGCTGACTCCAGAAATGTTATTTTGTAACTGCGGCAATTCCAGAGAAAACCGGACAAGTTCCTGGATGCAGCCTGTTTTCTTGGGGTTTCCACTTTACCTACCATCCAGTTTACCTAAAAGTCAACCCCTTCTTTGTTTCTCTTTGACTAGAACTGAATCCTAGTCTTAATTTCCTTTGTTTTCCTTCCATTAGGGGGTTTTGTTATCATTTTTGTTTTAAAGGATATTTTTTCCCCTAACTAATTCTGCATAGGTGTCACAATTTTTGCTGTGTTTTAGCATTTTAAGGATTTTTTCCTAATCAACTCAGCTAAGGTCAATTTCTATTTCTATTATGTCGGTTAATCAAATTGACAACACTTCATGAATAGGGGAATTGTGCCTNGGATCCCTATATAGGGATGGCTGGTTCGCTCACTTAGGAGAGAGTGGTGCTGACAACACCAAGTCAAGGGTTAAGATCCCCTTACTAGTCATCTTTTAAAAAAAATAAATAAATAAATAAAAGGCCTTCATTCCCCCCAAATCACACACTGGACAAACAAATGACCTTCCAAGTCATTCTAAAAAGAGTAGGCCTGCTTTTCCCCAGGGCTACCTTAGTTGAGGGATGGAGCTGGTGGCATTGTGAGCAAAAAAGTCAGTAGCTGGGTCTGATGCTGTAGATGCCCGAACACTCAGTGTGATGCTGACTCCAGAAATGTTATTTTGTAACTGCGGCAATTCCAGAGAAAACCGGACAAGTTCCTGGATGCAGCCTGTTTTCTTGGGGTTTCCACTTTACCTACCATCCAGTTTACCTAAAAGTCAACCCCTTCTTTGTTTCTCTTTGACTAGAACTGAATCCTAGTCTTAATTTCCTTTGTTTTCCTTCCATTAGGGGGTTTTGTTATCATTTTTGTTTTAAAGGATATTTTTTCCCCTAACTAATTCTGCATAGGTGTCACAATTTTTGCTGTGTTTTAGCATTTTAAGGATTTTTTCCTAATCAACTCAGCTAAGGTCAATTTCTATTTCTATTATGTCGGTTAATCAAATTGACAACACTTCATGAATAGGGGAATTGTGCCTTGTCTTTCCAGATATTTTTTCCTATTACTGAACACTTTGAGAAATTTTTAGAAGTCTAAAACCATTAAATGGCTTTAGACAAGGATTCCACTGATTCTTCACATGATCTTAAAAAATGGAGTGGACTAGTTTGGGGCAAGTTTACATATCTATTTTTTCCCCAGGAATTAGCCCACACAGAATTGGCCTTGTGTGAGCTCCTAAAAGCCACAGTTACGGCTCACCGCCTGCACTCTTTTCTACACTCATCATTCTTCCCTGAAGCCAATTTACTCATACTTTAATATATTCCTCCCTACTTTTCCCTGACATTTTTGTTCTAAAATGAAGAAAGAGAAAGGATTAAGTGTGCATCTGGGTCATGTCCTGTATCACTCTTAACAACCTTTGTTATAATAACAAATATTTATTTAGGTTTACTGTCTGCTTAGCTTTGGCCTAGATACTGGGGGAAATCAAAATTCCTGAAGCTCTCATCTCATCTTGCTAAAGAACAGTGAAAAAAAGAAATCTATGGGTCAACCCGTGGTGCACTCGGGAGAGTGCGGCGCTGGGAGCACAGCGACGCTCCCGCCGCAGGTTCGGATCCTATATAGGAATGGCCGGTGCGCTCACTGGCTGAGCGCGGTGCGGACGACAGCACACCAAGGGTTGCGATCCCCTTACCGGTCAGGAAAAAGACAAAAAAAAAAAAAAAGAAATCTATGACAAATGGAATCTAAAAGTGTCTCCTTTCAGCAATTTCTCATGTCCCTAAGAAGTGTTGCTCAGCAAAACACAATTTGGTAGAAGAGCAAGGCCCTAGCAGCGAAATTCTCCAGGGGAGAGAAGGAGCAATCTGGGAGCCTTTGAAAGGACAACAGAAATGCACTTTGTCTCCAGGCTGAATGCTCAAGAGCTGTGAGGGGAAGGACAGGTGGCTGCTTGGGCCCCAGTTACCGCTGGTACCTCCCCTGGATACAGGAACATGTCACTCAGGTTCAGCCAGCCCAGGTCACCAAAGTCAGAACGGTTGCTTTCTCCTCCCTCTGCACCTAAAGAAGCTTCCTTTGACAGCACACCTGCTGCTTCAAACTTGAAGCAAAAATCAACCATTCTTTTAAACAGCAGAAGGGTAGAGACTGAGACACACAAGATCAAAAAAAGATTTTTTCCCCTTTCTACAAAGAGGGAAAATAGTTGAAGGAGGAAACTACACCAAGACATACGGAAATAAACTAGCACAAAGTCTTTGAAAAACTGAGAGCACCCTCTACCATTGACACAAAACTCTTCACTAATTCAACAGAAAATTAATTTGGCAGAGAGATGGGATGCAGGAGTATATCCTCATGCAGTGTCCACTGCACAGCTTTCTTCCCATTTGGCTTCTGCTTGATCCAAGCAGACCCACCTGGCCGCAGCTGCAGGAAGGAAACATGACTGTCCTGATTGCGAAGGTAAACAATGACCATAAAAGGTTCAAACTGCTAAGAGCTAAAAGGTCCTTACCAGAGTCCCAACATGCACAACCACATCTCCCCACCTACCCGGCCCTCCCATGTTCTCCTCCCTCTTTAGATAATGTTCTCGGTCTCCGCTTCTGTCCTGCCTGCTCCCATTATTGTTCTACTCTCTCCACCCACCTCTGACACTTCCCCACAGCTCCAAGACAAAACATTCCAAACCATCCTGTTTAAATTCTGAGGGCCCTTGTAATCTATAATTTCCATTACTCAGATTATATATTCCTAAGGACAACAACTGGGTTTCATTTTATCTAACACCCTGAGGCATTATGCACATGGAAGGTAGTCTTTCTTATACTAATTTTAAAATGGTGTGGTGATCCAATAAATAAAAAATAATGCCACAAATGCAAATGTACATCCAGAGGGAGTGTATTTCCTATGAACTAAACGCTGTTTGTCTGCTGGATTTTTTTCCTTTGGATAATTTTTTTTTTCTTTTTCTATCTAATACCATGGCTTGTAGGCTTTCAGGAAAGATGTGTTACTCTGCCCCTTCCAGATTATATGGAAATAAAAGGAAAATCATACCATTTTAAAGTAAAATATTATCAATATATCCATTACGTTAGCTAGACAAATTAGAATAGTTAAATTGAAAAGGCCAGGCTTAAAATCAAAAGAAAAAAAAAAAA